TTGTTTGAAAAAAACTGCACGAATCATACATAGAACTGCAAAAAGGGAATTCTGTAAGGAAAAATCTTGAGGTCGGCGAAGCCTTTTGGTAAGACAACATTCGCGAGAGGCTTCTCCTTTCGCGCAACCAAAAATGGATCTTTTGTGCAGGAGCTCGTGAGCACACTGCACAGCATAAAAATGAGGGTGCTTTCCACATTTAGACTACTTACCCCGTAGACAACGAGTGAAAGAGCTGACTGCTCGTTCATCTCGCCAGACACTTCGTTGATTGTGTCGATCTTTGTCAGTGGGTACGAAAAGCAATTCGCCTCTCCGTAAACCCATACACTTTCGCCTTCCAATTCGAGAATGATGTTGAAAAGCTGAAAGTACAACTACGACAGAGGCCCATTTTCCAGAGATTCGCTACCAAGAACCTTCTTTTTTTCGCGAGCTTTGCTGCCAAAGTTAGGGGTGTCAAACTTTGTTTATTGGCAATGTTCAATCGGGCGCCAGCCTCCAAAGCCATCTTCATCATTTCCTAAAATGGTTACTGTGATTACATGACAAAAATATTCCATTTTTTATAATACAATTCGCTAACTATTTTTTCATGGATCACGCAAAGATGAAGTGCTGTGTTTCCGTTTGTGTCCTGAGCGTTCAGGTTGGCCTTCATTGCCACGAGTAGTCGAACCAGATCGGGTTGATTCATACACACGGCAAAGGAGAGCGGATATTCGCCGAAATACATAGTACTGAAAATCGCCATTAATTATTCAAAATCATTATCTAGGTCTCACTGCAAGCTAGCTTTTTTTTTCTACAAAAAAGTACGCATGGCTTCATGAGTCCGTCTTACACAGTGTTATGGACCGGGGCATGTGACACAAATACACGGCGTATTCTGCGCGTAACAAAATTTGCGAATAGTGGAGAATTCTCAGGCCATGCTACATAAGTTCCTACTTGTCTGCGCTTTCCAGCTACAGTAGCGCTCTGTGACCAAGGTCCGGGATTTCGGGTACATATTAAGCCTTTCCCCGAGAAAAAAGCAGTGCTACGCAAGCGCGGAGCATGTACACAAGTGTAGAGTGAACTTGACAAGGTCAAATCGCTAAGACCCTAGGATGCAGCATTGAACCCGACCAACACCAATGACTCCACCTACCAATCAGTGCTATTTAGCTTAGCTGCTGCTAGGGAGGGAGACTTGTTTTTTCGTTCTTGTTCCGTTTTTTTTTTTTTTACTACTGACCTTACACCTCACATCTCCACTATTACTTGCTAGCGAAATAACAATCAGTGGATTGGCTTTTTGCATTCCTTTGCGCTTTTGTGAAAAAAATATCAGGTATCAGAAAGAGGGTGAAACTCCAGTTCGGGGGAGCCACTCCATTTT